AAGCCAGTATGCTGTTGGCCTTCTTGACCACCTGGGAACACTGCTGGCTCATATTCAGCCAGCTGTTGACCAACACCCTCAGGTCCTTTTCTGCTGGGCAGCCTTCTAGCCACTCTTCCCCAAGCCTGTAGCACTGCTCAGGGTGGTTGTGACCCAAGGACAGGCCACTTTCAACCCTTCTGTGTTTGGCATTTAATGAGTATGCAAGTGTTCTACTCTCTCATCTCTCTCACTCCTCTTGAAGACTACTGTTTTCAGGAGGCCTGTACTAATTAAGTCTTGCTTCTCTAAGACTTCATTGCTGACCTCAGTACTATATGAAAAAAGGCAACATTTTCTGTGTGTTTCCCAGCTGACTTCCACATTGTGTATGTTTCCGGGGATGCATACTTTAAAATCACATAGACAGTGGGTTTTTTCAAGTCCTGAGAAATACTAGGCTTAGCCTTCAGCCTAACAAATACTAAATACACGCATAAGAACATGAAGAACCTTGATCCTGTCCTGTGAATTGATGTCTGTTGGAATATGAAGCTACAGAAACGCCAAGGTCACCATACAGAACACATTTTCAAACACAGCCCTTCACAAGACACAGTCACGGTTCCTCAGGTGCCTGTACTTTGCATAAATTGTTGTAGAGTGGGCAAAGTTAATATTTTATTCTACTTGTGTCACAGAGAGGGACTGTGAGCTCCTCTGGGCACTAGGTTTGCCCCTTCTGATTCTACAGCTTTTTGTCCCAGTTTTAGATTTCCAAAAAGTCAGCTTACAAAAAGAAGAGGGCGAAGCAATAAGAGCACTGCTTTATCACGTCCCCAGGGGCTCGTCCTGCATACACTGGTGTGAGGGCAAAAGGCAGAGGCAGACCGGCAGCGTTTTGGAGGCGTGCTGATGACCAAGATCTCAAGACTTGGTGCAGTCTGTATCCACACACCTTGCAGGATGCATGCCATGAACTCTTTGCAGTGGTTCAGATTCTCCAGTAAAGAAATTGTGTTTTCTTCTAATTGCAGCCTGGGAGTAATTTATCATATATAGATTTATGGCATAACTAGGTGGAGTCCAAAGCTCTCTGATGCACATGCAACTGGCATCTGCCGTCCTATGAATTACAAATACTGGGATATGTTCTCCAGTCTTTTTGGTTCTGTTCTCCTTGGATAGTCAGGTGAGTATCTGCCCTGTGCTAAGATACAGATTTTGTGGATTATTGGATTTCTCAGACCTCACTTCAGAGTTCCTCAGTTTTTAACTCATAAGGTGCCATATATTGAGGAGAGTGATGAGTCTTTGGGACAATTTCTTTGAAATTGCAATCCACTCCCACTGCCTTCCATCCTATATGGCAATAAAGGTTTTGGAAATGGGTGTATTTTACAAATTGTGGAACTGCAGAAGTATGTATCTCTTTAGCATGACAGTAATTTCTTTGAGCAAGTGGCTTGAGGTGGGGTAGTGTCTGCAATTCATTTCCCAACAAGGTCCTCTGGACAAGAGATGAGTTTTACCACACTTGTGTGCTGATCTGTGTATAACTATAAAATCAGGGCAATGCAGTTTTCCAAACCCTAGGCAAGTGACCCTGCAGCATGCCTGAATCTTAAGAACCATTATAGGGAAGCAAGGCCAGTCCTGACCACAGATTTCCTCCCAGATAAATACGGGTGAAAATATTCTGTATTTGATGACTGCCAGAAATTCTTTTTGGATTGCACAATAATTTCATACTAGAGGACTCAAGACCCTTATTATAAAAAATACATAAGGTTTTCAGGTTATTTTGTTTCTGTGTGAAAGGGACTGTAAAACATGGGTAGGCTGGAGCAGGTGCAATCATAAGAGCCCTTTTCAACCGTTAAAACTCTCAATTTCATTTGTAAAATGATTCCCTTTTTCTCATAATCTATGAACACTGGGAGAGCAAGAAACAAATCAACTGTTTGAAGTACAGAACCCAACAAAAACACTGATCAACAAGTGTTGGAGATCACAGAATAGATGGGAAAGGGGAATAGCTGGCTCTGCTTGTCTTTGGTTATCTTTTGTAGGCAGAAATTTCATTAACTGATTCTCTGAACACAGTCATAACCCCTTTTGAACTGATTTGTGTCTTTGGGTTCAATTTCAGTTGTGTCTTTGGTGGCCTGAACCTTCCCTTAGATCATCTGTAAATCTTTCAGTATTCCACATGGAGCAGCGGGGAAGGAAAGCTGTTTGAAAAAGCTTTAACTCAGTGTCTGTGAGAAATGGAGCAGCACAGCTACTGTCTGGCATTTGCATTGGAACGATGTGGCCCACACATATCTGCTCAGGACTTGAATCTTTTAATGTCCACATACTGCTGTCGAATGGTAGTATTCTGATCTTGAATCATAGAATTATTTGAACTGGAAGGGTCTTTAAAGATACCTAATTCCAAACCCTCTGCCATTGGCAGGGACACCTTCCACTAGACCAGGTTGCTCAAAGCCCCATCCAACCTGGCCTTCAATGTTGGTCTAACTTGATAATTATAGTTCAAACATTGGTCTCAGATTTTTTTGTGAGCAAGACATTTTAAATGAGGGGAAATAAAAAAACTTTTTTGAAAACTGAGAGTAGGTGAAGACAATGAATCTGCTGGAGCATCCAAGACATCATTTTTTCTTGGTAATGGTTAAGAAAAAGCCCTTAAAAGTAAACTAATAACATTTTTGGGAGTCAACACACGTGTTAATCTCATTTTCTTGTTTAAATTGATTCAAAAAGGAGGCCAGAGAATGGGTTGAAGGTTGTATCATGCTTTCCTGATAGATTTCCTCAATGGCCTGAAACATCTCTTCTTGCTTCACCGTTAGAAGACCAGGCTGGATAACTCTCTCAGCAACCTGGCCTCGGCCTCATAGCTCACCCGACTTTGAGACAGAGGTTGGACTAGAGTCCTTGTGAGGTCTCATGCTACCTGAATTTTCCTGTGATCCTATGTCATTCTTCAGCGGGACAA